GAGTTTACCTCTAAGTGCCTTGTGTCTTCTCCCAGTTCAACACAGACAATCACCCTGTCCTTACTGGGGGAGAGGAGAATCTCGTGACAGGTGAAAAGTAAATGCATGAACCAGCCTTGGTACTTGGACTTTGAGAAGGCTGGTTCCCATTCTCTCCATCTTGTTCCCATCGGCTTGCTGCCTGCAGCCGGTGTGCTTTGGGCACATGTGTTCAGTAGGCAGCACATCCTCTCCCTGACCTCAGTGTGTGTGTCTAGTACTATTATAGTATAGAGGTTGCAAGAAGTCACAACCTGAACGGATGGACCTGAAAGGCATGCATTGCAGCTATGAGTATTGAGATGAGGGAGATTTCATTCTACTTCTAGAGTCTTTTATTATCATGACTCAACCAACAGTCTAAAACACAGACAGACAAACAAACGTGGCTTGCAGTTGTTTAGGAATACTTTACTTGTGGTTCTGAATTGTGGAGAACATTAACTCATTCAAGAAAAATTTGTTTAATACACGAGTACAGTTACTTCTTACCCTCTATTTAGACTTCTAAGTTACACAGTAACCCTCCAGTCCGTGTGTCTGTGCACTTTGATGGGAGAGGGGGATGCATGCCATTAAATTATTTTAAACTGAGATCAGCTCAAGATACTACACTCACCACATTATTTTAGAGCATGATGCTTGGCGTGATTATTTAGTTTTTAATTTAATTTATATCCTGCCTTTTCATGGAGAAGCTCAAAGCATCATACCTGGCATTGGTGAACTCCCCTATCTAGGCAACAAGCCGATCAGACCTGCTTCATCGGCTTGTTGCATCATGGGCTTCCAGGCCTGAGTCTCACAGATTATTTGCTTCGTGTGTGGCTAGTCCTAGACTCTTGTATCTGTTGTGTGGCTAAGAAGTTTTTAAATCTTTCCCTCTCCTCCTTCCCTCTCCTCCAGCAGCTTTTGAGGAATCAGGTTCCAGGAGTCCTTGGTAACATTCTAAAGGAGCTTGCTAAGTCTCTTCCTAACATTTTTAGACCTACCTAATAGGATGCCCTTGTTCAGTGGGGAGTTCCAGCCTGCCATATTTGTGAGGTGTGTGATTCTTCAGTATTTGACACACACCTTATTGCATTTTGTTTAAAATTGCATTCAAGTTGCACAGCACTTTGAGCATGTTGTTATATTATTTTGTGTTAAATGTTTTTAAAGATAAATAGTTTGACAAAGGCCAACAATTCTTGCTGCAGAGAAGGCCTCCATGCACGTATCACTTGCCGAATCGTGCGCTGCAGTGTAATTCATGCATGTTTGGAAGTGCACTGATGTTGTCACACTCAGTTACTTTCAGTGGGTGAGTCTTCAATGCATGTTCCACACCGTGATACCTGTACCAACTGCTTTGGGAATACATATAATAATACTCAAAGCAGAATCACATATGAACACATAATGAAAGATGTTCACCATGCCAAATTACCACATAATTCAGGAGATGAATTTGTGAAATGGAAGTTAGAAGATTTAACATGGGGCAGCATATGATAAGGTTTAATGTAGAACTCAATGTAGCAATTTTCAGCTGGTTGGTTTGAAATTTTGCTTATGTGTAATGTCTGACTCCCATAATGTTAATAGAATTGTATTTAACACATACAGAAACTTTTATTATTTTCTAGAGTACACTGCACCTCAAAATTAGCTTAGGTTGTGTTTCTTTCACAGCAGTCTTTTGTAAATTATGGTGAATCTACCCATTCAAAAGCTATTTCCATCTGTTGCAGGGCACTAGCCTCTTCAATCCAGTTCTCTTTCATAGTAGCAGAAAGGCTTGATATCAGCTACCCACATTTCATGCATACCAGATGGTAACTAGGTGAACTGCCATCTCCTTTCTCTTGACTTCAAGTTGTTAGGAATCTCATTAGTTTAGAATTGTGCTCCCCACACACATCAACACTTACCCTTTTCCATAAAGAAACTTGCAACAGATTTGTTACTTCTAACATTTATAAGATCAGGCAATTCATTGTTTCTTACCCTCAATGTTGATGATTTGCTTGCTGTATTTCGTAGAATCATAGAATAGTAGAGTTGGAAGGGGCCATGAAGGCCATTGGGTTCAACCCCCTGATGTTGCAGGACACCACATTACACCATCCTGCTCTGATGGCTGTCCAATTTCTCCTTGAATGTCTCCAGTGTGGGAGAACCTACCACCTCTCTAGGCAGCTGGCTCCCCTGTCGTATTGCTCTGACAGTGTGGAAGCTTTCCCTGATGTCCAGCCTGAATCTGGGTTGTTGCAACTTGAACTGATTATTCCGTGTCCTACACTCTGGCATCAGCAAGAAGAGATCTTGACCTTCCTCTTTGTGATAGCCTTTGAGGTACTTATAGAGGGATATCATGTCCCCTATCAGTCTTCTCTTCTCAAGGCTGAACATGTCCAGTTCTCTCAGTCTCTCCTTATAGGGCAGTGTTTCCAAACCCTGGATCATTTTTGTTGCCCTCCTCTGGACCCTTTCTAGTTTTTCTGTATCTTTCCTTAATCTTGGTGCCCAGAACTGGACACAGTATTCCAGATCAGGTCTGACTAGTGAAGAGTATAAAGGAACATTTACTTCTTGTGAATTGGAAGTAATACTTCTAGTAATACATCTCAAAATAGCATTTGTCCTTTTTGTGACTGCATCATATTGTTGACCCATATTTAGCCTGCTCCAACATCTTATTTTTTTTCCTATTCTGTTGAGGCACATATTCCCCATCTTGTATTGATGCATTTGGTTTCTTTTTCCTAGGTGGAGCACTTGGCATTTGTCCCTACTGAATCTCGTTTTGTTGCTTTCAGCCAAGCATTCAGGTTTATCAAAATCACCCTGGATCTTCATTCTGTCTTCCGGGATGTTTACTATATGTTTTGTCCCACCAGCCTTAGCCTGCACTCTTGTGAGATATGATGGTAGTTGTAGGACAAAACTTTGGGAAGACCACAAGTTGTTCACCTGTGAAATATAGGCCAAAGCTTTTCAAGAAATTTCTGGCAAATTATTGAAACTGTAGGATCTCTGAGTTTCTCTTCTTTAGAATGTTAAAAAGAAACTGATTGGGTTTTTGCACAGGCATTTCCATTCTACTTTTTTTAGTGTAAATCAGATTTTTTTTCTATAATTAAAACGTTGTCATTTCTTGAGTGTGTTTTAGATAGAGATTTCTTGAATTGCGGGGAAGTGGACTGCATAATTTTTGAGGTATTCTAGTTTTGTGATTTTGTGGTGACTTAGGTTTTTCACCTTCCACCATTCAGATGAGTAATACAAGTTCAGAAGCTGCTGAAGCCTCTATCCAGATTGTGACATTCAGTGCTGTATTTTTTCTTCGCTCACTTTAGGGATGCTTGCCATAGAATTCTGCATTAAGAAATGCCTGGAATTTTTGGCATATTTGATCATACTAGTAATTGTAAGTAATAAAACAAAGCAGATGATTTACAGCTACCTTCTTCCCAGAAACATACCCAGAGAGGCATGAGTGGAGAGAAAAACATTCATATGTAAAATAGCTCTCCTAAGGAAAAAAAGAAGAAGAATGTAATTGCACTAGGGAAGGCTGGTGTCAGTTAAGGTTTAAATCTCACCCCCCTTGCTTATCTTAATCTTGCAAATAAGTAGTTATGAATCCCAATTACACTTCATGCTCAGTTACAGGATTGAAGTACATTAGTACTGCAGTTCCATGCAAGTCACCTTGAAATGATTTGAACTCATTCGCCTTCAGGGTAAACATGACATGCTTTGCCTATTAAAGGAACAGGGGTGGATACTGAACCTGAGCCTTAAACATTTTCAACTAATGCAGTCTTCAGTTCCAGAATGTTTACAGTATTCCAGTATTTTTCTTCAAAACCCAGATTTAACTTATCCTATAAAGATCAGCACTACCTCTGACAGTCCTGATTTGAATGCATCTAGTTATATGGTATCCCTACCAGCTGTGCTTTTTATTTTCTGCGCATTCTTCCTGTCTACTAAGGGTGCAGCCCTATGCATGTTTAGGTAGGAAAAAAGTCCCAGAGCAATCAGCATTTCCCAGCCAGTCAGATAAATCCAGTTACCCCACAGGCATGATGAGCATCAAAGAGATCAGAGACACCCACCACTGAAGCAAATTGTGTGATTAGCAATGGCTAGCATGTCAGTTCCTTGAAATTCTTTGGGAAAGAACACTTTTTCTTGTTTGTTTATAGACCTTTCTTCCACTAATCGGCCTGAGGGCCCTTGATTTCATCATATTACTGTTCTACTTAAGAGTCAAGGAATTAGATTTATTAGATCTGTGCTGGTACAGGGTGGCAAGAGAGGGAGCAATTGCCAAGGCTACACCAAGCTGTTTGAGTAGGAACAGCAACAAAAATAGCAATAAGGGTTATGAGTGCTTCATCAGGATGGAAATTGGTCACAATTCAATACTTCAGCGTGCATTTATTCATTTTTAATATGAACACAAATATAGCCTTCTAGTACACCAAAGCTATGTTATTTGACCCCCAAGCTTTATTCACCCAATATTTTAACAGTTAAATAAAAATCTTTTAATCTTGTTATACCAATCCTTTTTACAATGTTTATATTGCATCTTACTGTTTTTTATTACTGCTGTACCCTTGGACTAACATGAGAGCAACTGTTGTGGGCTTATTGTTGCCATCTCATTGGTGTTTTACTGATTTGTTGCTGTATATTGCAATTGTGTTTTTTGATCTTGTGAACTGCCCAGAGAACCATCTGGGTTGGTGGGCAGTATAGAAATCAGTCAAACTGTCCTCCATCATTACTCCAGGATGAGGGTTCACACTGATGGTTTGATCAAAGCAGGCACACATGTGACACAAATGGATACGAGGCAGGAAAGTTCTTCGTCTCTCCTGAAGTTGCATGTTATAAAATCTTGTCCATGCAGGTACATTATGTTCTCAGTTTATTAACATCAACCTTTTTTACTCTTCCACTAGGGCTTATTTCAAAACATTTGTTCCTCAGTTCCAGGAGGCAGCTTTTGCCAATGGAAAGCTTTAGAAGGGGGAAAACAACAACCTTAGCCTGAGAGGATGCCAGATTCTTATGTCCACATGCCTGTCAACAGACTGCAAGATGACCTCCTGGAAGTGGTTTGGGCTTCAGTCTTCACTGGTGTATTTTGACTCTGGAGCCTCCTTGTGAGCACCACAGACTGAACTTACTGTGTCTGTGTATATATAAATGAGGACTTTGCTTGGCTCAGTTTTTTATGTTTTCTTTGGTTCATTTTTCCTACATGCAAGCACATTTCTAGTCTACCTACTTAACTGAAATTAAACATGTATTGAATGTATTGATGTGATTTTTTTTCTGTGATGCCTTCTTTCTAAAGATTTTTTTTCCATATACCATTGTTTAAGATGATTCTGTGAAATTTTGCATGCCAGAATTGCAATCTTTTGGCATATTAGCTGAACAGCGTCTATTAAACAAAGCACTGCTATTTTCTGCCTTTGCAAATATCTTCCACTCAAAATTTATGCCCAGATGAATACAGTCAGCAATTGCCAGAAAAGTGGGCTTGATCACAACACAGTTTTAGTACCTCTAGTCAGATGTCTTCCATGTTGCAAAAATCAGCTTTGTACTGCTGCAGCTTTCAGTACAAGATTTGTCAGGAGCCTGCTGGTTACCATCCAGTGATGTTAAAAATAAAATACCTTCCATTGGAACATCAAAGGTGTCTAACAACTGGCTGTGTGTGCCACAATGATGGGAAAACATTTCTACCTGATTTTACAACTCTGATGAGAAATACAAGTATCACCGTTGAAACCAGCTTTTAACTTCAAAATCTTCCTTAATTTCTTTATTAATATATAGTAATGCTGAATAAAACATGCAGTTTAATTCACATTTAGAGGACTTTGTGAGAAAATGTAACTGGATGTATCATTCTTTCTAACATTCAACATCATAGCCATTAATTTTTCCATTCCTATGATACATTTTAGGCCAACCACTTGTCTCTGACTAGCAATCAAGTAACTTCCTATATTTTGTAAATAACTCAGGGTACTTTCCAACAGGGAATAAAATATACATGATCTTATAAATAGCATGCTGAAAACACACCACGGTTCTGCTGTGATTTAGGGAGCTCACTGGGCCATAAGTGTTTTAAGCTGGGCTTTTGATTGATGGTTTGGTATTTTTGCCCCCAACCCTTTGCCTTTCACCCCAACCACTGCCAAAATGCAACACCTGGGAGCATCTCCAGAAGTGAGTTTTGCCCTTGGACTAAGATGTCCCTATCATTGGTCTAGGTAGTACAAAAAGTAGGCTTGGGTAAAGAAACAGCACAGTTCAAAAATACAGCCAAATATTGTAGCCACAAAGTCTTTGATAACAACACAGTCTCAATACTGAGATTTGCATTCTGAATGCCTGAGTCCATGTTAGTGTTGCGAGTATCAGTTTATGCCCAGCAGTGAATTCTGGGTTGCCCCAGAGGTTGTAATGGCGTCCAGGTTTGGACAAGACCGCAACCCTAAGGTAGCTATCAAAACCTAAAACAACAGACTGTTGCGGTGGGTTATAAGCCAGAAACCTAACAAACGCATGGTCAGTTTGCACGATGTCGCTCCCCATGGTTTATAAGCCATGGGTGTTCTTGTGTTGTGTGAATCCAGTCTCTGTATTGTAGGGCAGTGTTTCCAGTTTTCTCCCTGCAGACAGGATATTGTGTTCTATTGGTTTCAGCTGCTGAGCAGCTCTCAAGTAACACACCTCAAGGGGCTATCTGGGTTGCTTCAACTCAAATCAACCCTGCCCATCCCTAGCAGAACCGAAGCAGTTTCAGAAGTAGGCTGATGGACTTGGAGAGCTAATCTCCCTCTTTGCCTGGGCACCCTGCCCTCAGATGTTCTTAAGTCACATTTGCCCCAGTAAGGAAGAAGTAGCAAAGTAACTCTTTCCTGAGCTAAACTGGTTTTAATGAGCAATTTTACAGTGAAAAGGCATGGGTGGAGGTTCAGCTCATCTTCCCACGCATCATGTTCTCACTTTGTCCCTACCGCAGATAACAGTGGCACACGGTTGTCTCCTTGCACCATCGCCTCTAGTGGTGTCCTTTGTTTCTCAGCTCGGGGACTTGGGAGGCTGCCTTTTCATCTGTGTAAAAAACTGCTCCACTCTTTTCAGCTGCTGCACTGCAGTTTGGTTGGTGCGGCAGTTAATTGTCGACAAGGAGTGTGGACCAGAGGAAAAGCCAAGATCAGCTGCTGAAAATAATGCTTGAAGTGTCAAGAAATGAGCAAAGAAAAGGGGCTCCTGCTGATTTGCCTAGACCACAATCTAAGCCTTCAAACGAGTCCCTGGTGTAGCTTAAAAAGAAATAAAGCATCTAAACATGAGGCTTTTCATGAATCAATAAAGAATAAGCACAATATTAAATGACTGGAAAGCAGGCAAGTGCTTAATTGCAGATGACTTCAGAATAAAGGGACAGTAAAGTCAAACATTTATGCCTGCCTCTCTCTAGAGCAAGCTTGCTTCCAGAACTGGCTGAAGAATTAATACATTCTTGTTGAATAAATGTCCTTTGCAAACCACCTGCTGTGAAAATTGATCTTTGGGTTGCTACATGTTTTCATCAAAGTGTATTGAGGCCATCGTGTTTCTGTTCCACCTGCAAGGATTGCTGAGTTGTGCCAATGAAATGTAAAACTCTTCTGATCTATTCCAACAGTGTGGCGCTTTCAAAGGCCTTGACTTGCCATGTAGCCAGTCATTTTGCAAACTGGTTAAGTCTGCCAGTGAACCAGGGTACCTTTGTCATGCCTCTGTTTTTTATGCATGATGATTCAAGCATATCGCAATCTGACACATTGTTGCTTTTAACCCACTGTCCCCTGCAGCTAAAAGATTTTTAATAATTGCTTTGAAAAGAAAGACTCATTGGGATTCTGTATGTCTGGAGAGATTGCAATGCTCGCAAAAGGTATCCTATTAACACGTCTCCAACTAGGGCTTCTGTTTTATCCAACTTAAAACAGCAAGAGGCATTTCCAGAATGAAGAGTGTAGGCTGATGGCTGGCTGGCTGGCTGGCTGGTGCAGCAGCAGTTTTGCTGCTTCAGGTGATCATGGTGTATTTGGACTTGCAGCGGCTGGCATGGGGATCGTGCTTGACCAGCGCACCCATTCAAAGCACTGAACACTCATAAATGCCACTTCTAGAAACAACCTGACTTCTGCCTCTATGGCTTCGTATAGGTTGCTGTGCACTCAACAGGGCAACTGATCATCTGCATCAAGAACGGGCAGCTTGCTTCTCTCTAGGTTCTTTGGTTGCAATTTGCATCACCCATCCCTAGCACAGCCAGCTGTAAAGGGAGATAAGCCAAAATAAAACCGACATGTGGTAGGCTTCACAACAACCCTGTCAGGTAGGTTGGTGGCCAACAGAAACCCAGCAAGTTTCATGACAGAACATTTGGACCCAGCTCTCCCTGGCTGGCATTCTGAATCTTTGGCATATACCCCAAATTTTAGTGTTAGTTGAGACAAGCAATTGGTCTCTGGGATTGTGTATGTGTAGGAAAACCAAACATGATGCAAGCATAGCGGAGTGGCATGTGAGGCCAGGGTGGCTGGCCCCTGGAGGACTGCACATACGCACAACCATACTGTGACGTACACAACACAGTCCTCTCTGCAGGAAGAGCAAATTGAATAAGGCTGAAATGGGAGAACACCATCTGAATCATCTGGAGTAGCTAACCAGAGCCCCGCAGATGTTTTGAAGTACACCTTCCATAAGCTCCTGCCAGCAAATCAAAAATCCAGGGCTTGTGGAGATTGTACTCCATAATGTCTGGAGGGCACAAGGTTTTCATGCCCCTGGATCATTGCAGAAGGCCCAGAAAACCTTAGGGAAAGGTGCTGTTTCTCTGCGTTCCTTTCTTCATGTTTCTGTGTCCTGATTCCAGTTAACCTGCCAGTGAACCAGGGACAGCATCTTCTGGGTTCTGTGTGACCAACGCAAGGTTTGAGTAAAGATGAATTATCTTCATAAGAGTACTAACAGTATTCCTAGCAAGCAGGGATAAATGACATCTTCATTTTAATGGGGCCAGGAGGCTTAATGGGGCTGTTTCCACATGATGGTGGATTATTTAATTATATGCTAAGCCTTGGCGTGTCTGGCTGTAATAGCACCTTGGACTCCCTTTATAAATGACTCATCCTGTGTGTGAGCCTAATTATGGGCTCCCTGAATGTAAAAGCAAAGGCACTGGATCTTCCTGTGCAACTTCTAATGAGGTGGCATCCAAGGTCAAGGTAGATTGGCCACTGCAAGCTATATAAACATTGGTTATGTGATGGAACATGAAGACACGCTCGGGGGTGGGGGAGCCTTAACCAGCACAACCAGACCTTTTAAGTGGAAGCACTGGATGTGCTCACCTCACTGTCAATCCATCTTGCTGGGTTTCCTGTCTTTGTCATTCTCCAATAATGTGGCATTTTGCAGGGAAACCAACATTCCCACATACTCCATCATAATCTGCCAACTCTGAAATCAGCCAGGTCGTTTTTGCAGCACTGAACCCTCAAGCATTCCGTTGTCGTGGTTTTTGTTGGTTACATTGCATTTGTCTCCTGCCTTTCTTCTTCTTGTGAGGAACCCAAGGTGTCCTACATAACTTTATTTTAACTTGCTAACAACAACCCTCTAAGGTAGGTTCGTGTGTTGAGGGAATTCACAAACGTATAAATGAGTTTAAACAAAAAACAACATCAGAAAAATTCTATCCACCGGAGGATTCTTTTCCTTACAAATGGATTGTTCAGCCATCAGATTTGTACAAAGCAGTAAGCTCCAGGATTTCAACAAGTCCCTCTTGCAAACAGGTAGAGCCTTGACCTTCCAGCTCCCCTGGGGGGAGTAGCTTCAGAAGTTGCTTTTTGTGGGACGCTGTTCCCTGTTGTGACACGGTGCTGCCTGCCAAGCATCTCTGTGTTTGCAACACTGATTTATTTACAAGCACCATGTTGAGTTAGGAAGAGGCAAAGTCAGTACCTGCATTCTAGGCTAGGCATAAAACCACATTCATCTCCCACCCTACATCCCAGGAAAAGTACAAGCTTCTTGCTTTCCCTTCAAAGCTCCTTTTTACCAGTCAACTAAAAAACCTACCCTTTCAGTCTCATCTGATTTGCAGTCACATGCAAACTTTCCAGCCTCTGTCCAAAGAAGTGAAATCAAGCCGGGAGCAATCTTCGTTTATCTTTAGGAAGCATCTTCCAAGCATCAGTGCCCCTTTCAAGAAGGGCCTTCAGCTGGCAGCTGATCATGGGAGTATCAGCTCCCCTGACATTGCACCATCTTGCTGTTCTCACAGATGGAAAACGTTGACTGCACACATCCAATCCCATCTGCAGTCAGCCTTGAAACTGGCACAATCATGCTGACATACTGGGTTTGCTCATCGTCGGCCTCTAAAGGCACAGAGCCTCAGTAGTGGTGGTGGCAACATAAATCCAGCTTGCCCAGTCACAGCAACCACCTGCTATGGCGGCTGGGGGTAATTCCCCATTCAGATTTGTGATGTCTCAAGGAGTATGGAATGACAGGACTGAAGACTTTGTAGTCACCGATTTTTTAATACTGTTACAGGAGCCATGTGCTTAATTTACAGAGGACAGTTGTCTGTTTCATAGTGACCTCTATTT